TTATTCATTCAGTCGCTTCCAACTCTTTGTGACTTCATGAACCATTGCACGCCAGAGCTCCCTGTCGGCCGAGGCAACCCCCAGCTCCTTCAAGGTCAAGCCAGCCACTTCAAGGATACCATCAACCCATCATGCCCTTGGTCAGCCCCTCTTCCTTTCTCCTTCCATCTTCCCCAGCTTCATTGTCTTCTCTAAGCTTTCCTGTCTTCTCATGATGTGGCCAAAATAATTCATCTTTGCCTCTAATATCCTTCCCTCCAGTGAGCAGTCGGGCTTTATTTCCTGGAAATAAAAGATATACATAGTTTTACCAAGGACAGAGGACCCGAGGAACTAGAAATGGCCTCCATCCTTGCAGTCGACTCGGGATCCCCCAGAAGACTGGCAGCAGCCCCTCGGATTTGATCCATATACACCACCGAACCAGCTGTTTGGCTTGGGCCATTCCAATTTGCGGAGACTCCCCAGCTGATGGTCACAATGTATCCAAAGTGCCTCCTTTTGACACCAGCCACGCTGTATCCCCTTTCTTTCTGCAATGCCAGAAATACAGCTTAATGGTGTAATATTAGAAAACGTTGACCATTTCCACTCCCTTGGCAGCCACCTCTCCACAAAAGTCAACATTGACCGAAATACAACACCGCCTGAGCTCTGCAAGTGCAGCATTTTCCTGAATGAAGCAGGGAGTGTTTGAGGGCCAAGACATCCGTACGGATACTAAAATGCTTGTTTACAAAGCTGTTGTCCTCCCAACCCTGCTTTATGCCTGTGAAACGTGGACTGTCTACAGATATCACATTCAACTCCTGGTACGATTCCATCAGCGCTGCCTCCAAAAAATCCTGCAAATCCCTTGGGAAGACAGGCGGATAAATGTCAGCATGGATAGGGGTGGACTAGATAGCCTCCGGGGTGTCCTTCAACTCTATGAAGAGGTTGCAAAGTCTATTTATACATATGTGTGTGTGGTTTATTTGGGGACAATGTTGGCCTCCAAGCTTTACTTACTTGCAGAAACTTGGTTTAAATGTTGTTGTCAAGTCATTCAAGTTATTTTCTGACTTACAGCAACCCCATCATGAGGTTTGTGGACTGAGAAAGTGTGGGTTTTCATGGCAGAGTTGGGATTCAAGCTCTGGATTCAAACCACTACATTATTATTACTATTATCCCACTTGATCAGTACAGAATGGCATAGCCGACTTGCAAAGGGATTCCCTTCCCTTCGTTTCCCCAGCTTTGCCTTCTCTTTTCCCAATGCACATCATCATCATAATGACGCTCCTTTTTGGCTCCATGGCAATTGGATGCCATGGCAACTGTGACGTCACTTCTGTGCTCAGGACCGGGAGGACACTCACGCACACCTTGTGCTCCCAACCTTGCATCCACTCCCTCCAATCTCTGCTTTGACCCCAAAACTAATGATATGGGGTATGAGCTCTGAATGAGTTTCATGACCAATCTGCCCACCCGTCTAATACTTTCTCCCCCTTTTCTCTTTTGGTCCTCCTTATCCCACCTTCTTTGTCTGTCCGTCTCCACCTTCTTCTCCATCATCACAGGTGAGTCCTTGTCTTTCTGCATTACACTTTTAAACAGAGAGAAACATCCTTCAACAGGAAAGAAACTTAAGAAATAGAAAGACTGGGAGATAATTTTATCCATCCACCCATGCTACCTATTTATCCATCCTATCTACTAATGTACATCGTATTTACATACTGACTTACCTATCCAACCATGTTATCTTCCCCCCTATATCAGTCTTTCCTTTCTACCTGTTCATCCTTCCTATTTATTCACATACTATCTATCCATTCAATTTCCTATCTACCTACCCATTTATCCATCCTGTCTATTCATTCTTCCTAGCCATCATTTAAGGTAAAGGTTTTCCCCTGACATTAAGTCCAGTCGTGTCCCACTCTGGGGGTTGGTGCTCATCTCCATTGCTAAACCAAAGAGCCGGCATTGTCCATAGACACCTCCAAGGTCATGTGACTGGCATGACTGCATGGAGCGCCGTTACCTTCCTGCCAGAGCTGTACCGATTGATCTACTCACATTTGCATGTTTTCAAACTGCTAGGTTTGCAGAAGCTGGGGCTAACAGCGGGAGTTCACACTGCTCCCCGGATTTGAACCTGCGACCTTTCAGTTGACAAGTTCAGCAGCTCAGTGGTTTAACACACTGCACCACTGGGGGCTCTATCTATCTATCTATCTATCTATCTATCTATCTATCTATCTATCTATCTATCTATCTATCTTTAATTTATACCCTGCTTTCTGTCCCAAAGGAGACTCAAAGCAGCTATTTATCCACATAACCATCCTTCCTACCTTCCTATCTATCCATCCATGCTATCTATTCTATCGATCTATCCACCCATCCCTCCTATCCATCCACAAACTACCTTTCCTATCTGTATATTTACCAATACTATCCTCCCAACTTCCTTCCTTCCTGTTTATCCTGTCTGTCTGTCTGTCTGTCTGTCTGTCTATCTATCTATCTATCTATCTATCTATCTATCTATCTATCTATCTATCTACAGTCTTTACAGACAAAGTCGCCTTGATCCGTTCTGAGCTGGACGCCGCGTTAAATGCAGTCTCTGTGGATGTAACAAGAGCACCTGCTTGTCCTATTTTGATGGATTCTTTTCAGTTTGTGAAACCCGAGGATGTGGACAAGATACTTGGAGGAATGAGGCCCACCACGTCCATCCTAGACCCCTGCCCATCCTGGCTTCTGAGAGAGGCCAGAGGGGGATTGGCTGAGTGGGTAACAGTGGTGGTGAATGCCTCCCTTCGGGAAGGCAAGATTCCAGCGAGCCTAAAACAGGCTATTATAAAGCCGCTGTTGAAGAAACCATCACTGGACCCCACTAAATTGGACAACTTTCGGCCTGTTTCCAATCTCCCCTTCTTGGGCAAAGTCATGGAAAGCGTGGTGGCCTCACAACTCCAGGTATTCTTGAGAGACACGGATTATCTGGATCCGGCACAGTCTGGCTTTAGGCCGGGGCATGGTACCGAGACAGCCTTGGTCGCCTTAGTGGATGATCTGCGCCGGGAGCTCGACCGGGGGAGTGTGTCCCTGTTGGTGCTGCTGGACCTCTCAGCGGCCTTCGATACCGTCGACCACGGTATCCTTCTGGGACGCCTTGCGGAATGGGCCTCGGGGGCACTGTTCTGCAGTGGCTCCGGTCATTTCTGGAGGGCCGCACCCAGAAGGTGTTATTGGGGGACACCTGTTCAACGCCACAGCCTTCGACTTGTGGGGTTCCACAGGGCTCTATATTGTCCCCCATGCTGTTTAATATCTACATGAAGCCGCTGGGTGAGATCATCCGGAGTTTCGGGGTGCGGTGTCATCTGTACGCAGATGATGTCCAACTCTGTCACTCCTTTCCACCTGCTACTAAGGAGGCTGTCGAGGTCCTGAACCGGTGCCTGGCCGCTGTAACGGTCTGGATGAGGGCGAACAAACTGAAATTAAATCCAGACAAGACAGAGGTACTTCTGGTCAGTCGCAAGGCCGAACGGGGTATAGGGTTACAGCCTGTGCTGGACGGGGTCGCACTCCCCTTGAAGGCGCAGGTTCGCAGCTTGGGTGTGATCCTGGATTCATCGTTGAGCCTGGATCCCCAGGTGTCAGCGGTGACCAGGGGAGCACAGCTTCGGCTTGTGCGCCAGCTGCGCCCGTACCTTGGGAAGTCTGACTTGGCCACGGTGGTACACGCTCTGGTCATCCCGCCTTGACTACTGCAACGCTCTCTACGTGGGGCTGCCCTTGAAGACGGCCCGGAAGCTTCAGCTAGTCCAGCGCGCGGCAGCCATGTTACTAACGGGAGCGGGACGCAGGGAGCATACAACGCCTTTGTTGTCCCAGCTCCACTGGCTGCCGATTTGCTACCGGGCCCAATTTAAGGTGCTGGTGTTATCCTACAAAGCCCTAAACGGTTCCGGCCCAAAATACCTTTCGGACCGCATCTCGGCCTATGAGCCCACGAGGGCCTTGAGATCGTCCGGGGAGGCCCTTCTCTCGATCCCGCCTGCCTCACAGGCACGTCTGGCGGGGACGAGAGAGAGGGCCTTCTCGGTGGTGGCCCCCCGGCTGTGGAACACTCTCCCTGTAGACATCAGACAGGCGCCCTCCCTCATGTCCTTCCGAAAAAGCCTCAAGACATGGCTGTTCGAGAAGGCATTTAATTAAGTGTTATATTAACGTGGTAAAGATGATTGGAATGGAATAAGGAATATGAGATTGGTCTATGACTCCACTATGAGACGGAGCGGATTTTTTAGTGTAATTATATAATTGTTGTATTGTGGATATGTTGTTTGTAATTGCCTTTTGTGAATTGCCTTTTATATGTTGTACACCGCCATGAGTCGCCCTAAAAGGGCTGAGAATGGTGGTCAACAAATGCACCAAATAAATAAATAAATAAATAAACATCAACAACCAGTAGCCCAAAATCTATCTATCCATCCATCCATCCATCCATCCATCCATCCATCCATCCATCCATCTATCCATCTCTCTCTGTATATTTATCCATATGCTATCCATCCCCTATCTATCCATTCATGCTCCCCATCCATCCCATTTATCCACAATCTTTCTCATCTATATATTTATACACATACTATCCGTCTTCTTACCTTCCCATCTATCCATCCGTGTTATCTACCCATCTTTCCATTCTATCTCTCCACCCACCCATCCTTTTTATCCCTCCCCTTATCTACCCACCTTCCCACCCATCCCTTCTGCCAGTTTATGCATATGAATATATGTATGCATTCTGCATTTTAACTGGAAGCCTTGCCCATCTCTCCACAACACAATAAAACATTCTCTTGGGGAAACAATATGCCTTCTTCCAAGGCCTGTTATCATTAGAGGGAAATGTTATTTTTTTAAAAAGCAAGCAGTAGCAGTCAAATGTTCCTTTTTATTCTTTGGACACCTATACACACATGTTGAGGTACACTTTATTTACCATCGCCTTCACAGAGTGCTCTCAAGCAATTCGTATTCTTCATCATGAAATGGTTACGGAAAAAATTACAGATTATATTTTTTATTTTCAAAATTCAAGATTTCAGTTATGAAAAATGCATCCAACGTTGGCAAGAAAGTCATTAATACAACTTGGATTATGGACCATTTTTTACATGTACTAAACAAGGCTGCTGTTGGCTAGTTTTACACACATTCTCCCAATCGGCTATCTTAATTCCAGCAGAATTACAGAGAAATTCAGATGTCCCACTGAATTGCACCATCTCCAGTCCCAGTTGGAGTAACATACAGTCCATAAGCGTATTGTTCTAGACTTGGGATTATCTGCTCCTAATTGGACCTTGGGAAAGTTACTTTTAGGACTCTTAAGACCGGCATTCCAAAAAGCAGTGTTACTAAGCCCAGAAAGGATCACAAAACAAAAGCAACATAGTATAAAGATTAATTGCACAGATGGCCAGAAGTCCTCAGCCCTTGAGTCCTTCATTCTTCCATGGAAGGATGGAAGGCACAGAAATGTATACTACCTAAGTCAGTGCTTTTGCAAAAAAAATCACGCCAAGTCTTTGTATTGGGGTTTCACTGTATGCCGTTTCCCACTTCTGCTGTAATGTCTTTGCTGCGCAATTCCTAGGTTTACAGGGCAGGAAAGTGCAGCTAAAACAGATCTATGCAAATTATTAGAAATGTCTTAAAACAAGAATTCAGCAATGACTCACTTAAACCCATTAACCAGATGCCCACAATCTGCCAGTTTAACAAACTCACTGTAATGATTTTGAAATATCAGTCAATGCAGGAGCTGCAGAAAATGCAGAAACAGAAGTAACAAACTGAGTATCAAAGGATTATCTTACTATTAACAACTATGTTTGTGTAATAATAGTTTATCCAAACCACAGATTTCAACATTCAGGTAAAATGGAAGACCGCAGTTAGATGCAAACTGGGATCCCTGAATTCCAAGTTACATGAATCCAATATGTGGCTTAAATTAATCCCATTGTTATATGGATGCAATCTGACCTGCAGCTCTGAATGTTTTGTAGCCCTGGACATACATTTTTTCGCACAAACGTTGCAAATGCATGGCCCAAGATCTACCCAAATATTCTCCAGCCTCCCACTTTACTGTCACACGAGAGATGGGTCCATCTGATATGTTCAAAACATTTGAAAACACACAGCACACACTTCCTTACAGATAAAAAGAATGCTCAAAATAGGGGGCTATTTATGTGCCTTTTTGCATGGTCTGGCTCAGGAGGCGGAACAATGAGATCTCTCACTAGCAGCTGAAACGAGGGAGATGAATGTAAACAGCTATTATTTTATCTTCCCTGCACTGGGTCCCTCCAGACTTGATTTTCATGTGTTTTTCGTTAAAAATATATATAGATAGATCCTTTGATCCAGTTCCAATAGTCTCTCAAGTTCTTCTAATCACAGGAGCCGTCTTTCCATCCGTCCCGCCAGCGCTGATCAACGAGGGAACAGTCAAACTCGGGCTTCCCCAGTTTCCGGTTCACCTCATTGTGGATCCGGCAAAACCACTGCGTCAGATTGCGCCGGCTGGAGGCGTCTGGCTGATTCCGTCGTATCCTGTCAAAAAAGAAAACACTGTGGCTCCAGTATCATCAACTGACTCTTTATCTCCAGCCCCTGAAACTGAAAAGATCTGGTCAGAGGCCCCATCCAGATTACTGTTATAATGCAGATTGAACTGCGTAAGTTTGCCCATGCCTGGCATAGACTCAAATAATGCAATTTACATGCACTGAACTGGATTATATGAGCTTATGATGCAGTTCCATCTTCATTATAATGGAAGTAGATGGGGCCATAGAAGGCAGGCTCAAATTGGATTAAGTCTATCCAGTTTGAGCCCCTATTCAGAATGAGACACAGAAAATCATGTATTCACATCGGACAACTCTGTCCCCTCTATTAATTTTTTTCTGTCTTGTGAATTTTGATAAATTATAATTAAAAGAAGCGGGAATCACAACCATCCACTCATGGTTTGGTGTAAGCTCACAGCAGCCGCTCCCAATAACGACACAGGACGCCAATCCGTAATCAATCAGGAACTTTTACTGCTGGACATTCATACACGAAGAAAGCCAGGATTGGCCGGCAGCCGCGGTTCAACCCTTATATACCCTCCCTCACAACTGAATTCCCCTTTCCCGCCAACCGAGAGTCCCGCGCAATATTCCCCGCCAAATGCCAACTGCTTCCCCCCAAGGCCACCAGGTGCACATTCTTATCAGCATCACATGTCAGGATCCTGGTTTTTTGCGCCAAGACTCAAGGCCTGGAAACCGATTCCTGACATGACGTCCTCCTCCTCCTCCTCTTCTTCCTGGAAGGGAAATACATGTCACTACTATATTCCTTCTTCATCCAGCGAACCTTGATACTTTTTTAACAAGCTACAGTGAAACGTTGGGTGTATCTTCCCCAAAACCTTCGGTAGTTGCAATGTATATGTGACATCATTGATTTTACTGGAGATTCTAAACGGCCCGATGTATTTGGGAGATAACTTCCTGGACGGGGGATTCAGCTTGAGACTTTTGGTGCTCAACCATTCTAAATCCCCTTCCTCCAATCTGTCTCCTTCCCTCCTTTTTCTGTCTGCAAATAACTTATACCTCCGTTGGGCTTCTCTGAGTGATTTCACTACCTCCTCCCAACTCGCCCTCACCTCGTCTGGCCACCCCTCCTTTCCCCACGGTTCCTCCTCCTCCCAACTCGGCAGTTTCGGCAAAGGGGCTACCTCCATACCGTAGACTATTTCAAAGGGGGATTTCCCTGTGGATGCGTGACAGGCTCCATTATATGCGACTTCTGCATATGGGATAAGATCTGCCCAGTCGTTCTGGCAATTATTTGTGTATGTCCTTAGGAATAATCCCAACGTCTGCTGAGTGCGCTCGACCCCCCCATTGGTCATGGGATGGAACACTGAACTCAGGGTCCTTTCCACCCCCATCAGTTGCATGAACTTTTCCCAGAAACGTGCCGTAAACTGCACCCCTCGATCGCTAATCACCTGATCGGGACACCCATGCAACCGATATATGTGTTTGATAAACAGCTCAGCCAACTTTTCCGCAGATGGCAATTTAGGCAGCGCCACGAAATGTGCCTGTTTTGAGAATAAGTCCATCACTGTCCATATGTAGCGCTGACCCCGGCTATTCAGGAGTTCGCCTATAAAATCCATAGCGATCACACTCCATGGCTTTGACGGCTCTGCTACCCTCTGCAACAACCCTGTCGGCTTTTGTGTGGGTACTTTGTTCCTTGCACATGTGTTACATCGGGATACATATGATTTTGTGTCACCCCTCATCCCGGGCCACCAACATTGGCGTGCCAGTAATTTCAGGGTTTTCGTAACCCCCGAGTGTCCTGCCCCCTTATTGTCATGGCATCTGATCATCATTTTTCCCGCAGGCTGACTGGGATGTATACCTTCTTGTTTACAAACCCCAATCCACCCTTCCATTCCACCTTTTCCTTGTTCCTCTCCAGCCACTCATCCTCCTTGCATGCCTGTCTTATCTCCTCCTCCCATCCCCCGTCCTTGCTCTCTACCCCCACAAGTCTTTGACTGCGTTCCGCTTGTGCCCTGGTCTGCACTGCCATGCCCCACTGCCGTTCTGAGAAAATACTCCCCTTTTGGTCTTGCCCCCTCCCTTCATCCTCCGGCATATGTGACAACATGTCTGCCACCACATTTTGTCTCCCCTTGTGGAACTTCAGCTGGAAATCGAATCTGCTGAAGAACTGCCCCCATCTTGTTTGTTTTGCTGACAATTTCCTGGGCGGAGTGATATATTGTAGGTTTTTATGGTCGGTCCATACCTCAAAGGGTATGCCGCTTCCCTCTAACAAATGCCTCCATGTCTCCAGAGCTCTTAGGATTGACAGGGCTTCCTTCTCCCACACTGGCCAGTTTCGCTCAGCTTCGCTGAACTTTTTTGATATGAACCCACATGGCTTCAACCTCCCCTCCGGATCCCTTTGCATCAACACTGCCCCATAGGCCCAATCTGATGCGTCACAATGGATTACAAACTGCTTAGTCAGGTCGGGGTGGATTAGGACAGGTTCTTCTGTGAACCTGCGTTTCAGCTCCTCGAAAGCCCTCTGGCATTCTGCTGACCAATTCAATTTTACCCCCGGGGACCGCACCTTTACCGTCTCCCCCCTCCCCTTTGTCTTCAGCAATTCAGTGAGGGGCAGTGCCACCTGGGCAAAGTCCTTTATGAACACTCGATAAAAGTTCGCAAACCCTAAGAAGGACTGTAACTGCTTGCGTGTTTTGGGAGGTCCCCATCCCCTGACATCCTCTACCTTTGAAGGATCCATCGTCACCCCTCCCTGGGAGATTCTGTATCCGAGGAAATCTATTTGTTCCTTATTAAATTCGCACTTTGGCAGCTTTGCAAACAGCTTTGCTTCCCTCAATTTCTGGAGCACCTCCCTCACCAATTGAATGTGGGATTGCCTATCACGGCTGAATATTATCACATCATCCACAAAACAGTACACTCCCCGGTACAGTAACGGGTGCAGCACCTCATTAATCATTTGAATAAATGCCCTTCCCGAGCCTTTTAGTCCGAAGAGACACACGGAATATTCAAAATGCCCCAATGCAAATGAGAAGGCCGTTTTCCATCTGTCCTCAGGCCGTATCCGCAACTTATGATAGGCCTCAATCAAGTCGATTTTCGTAAACACCCGTGCCTCTGACAGTCTCGACAGTAAGTCATTGGTTAGAGGCAATGGGTAATTGTTGGTCGTGCTCACTGCGTTCAGCCCCCTATAGTCCACACACAACCTCAACGAGCCGTCCTTTTTGTGCCTAAATAGCACTGGGGCCCCCAATGGGGATTCAGATGGTACTATGAACCCTCGGGCTAAGTTCTTATCAATGTACTTCCTCAATTCCTCCATCTCTTTCGCCGACATGGGGTATAGCCTACTCCTAGGCAGCTTAGCATCTTTATTGAGTTCAATTTTCACCTCGACCCTTCTTGGGGGAGGAAGCTGATCTGCTTCCTTCTCATCAAACACGTCCTCAAAGTCTCTATATTCGGGAGGGATCTCCTGCACCCCGTCTGTCGTGCATCCCTCCCCCTTACAACACTCCCCTTTTTCTTCGTCTTGGAAGCTCAGGCTGCCCTTCCTCCAATTGATCTGTGGGTTTGCCTCCCTCAACCACGGCATCCCCAATATCACATTATAAGTTGCCATAGGGGATACCACAAATGTTATGCCGCCTTCCCAATTCCCTATCTTGCACTGCACTTCCCCCACCTCGAATCGCGCTGGGGCTCCAGCCGCCACTGATCCATCCAGCTGTGAAAATGCTATAGGGGCTGGCAAGACGGCTTTCTCACATTTCAGTTCGTCTGCCAATTCAGGGGTTATAATGTTTCTGGAGCAGCCACAATCCATGAGGGCTTTGCAACTGGCCCACTTCCCCTCCCCTTCTAGCCTTATCGGGAACACTAGCATTCCTGGGTTGTGACTCACCAGATCCCCCACTGGGGCCCTGTGAGGGAGGTTCTCTTCCGCTCTCTTCCCAGCGGTCGGTTTAAACTTTGGCTGAGGGGGATCCCCCCCTTTCGCTGCCAACAATTGGCGGCCCGATGCCCCAAACGGCCGCACACAAAACAGCCGCCTTTCTGCTCCTTGGGTCCTCCAGCTGGGCCTTTCCCAATCGAGCCTCTCTCCGTCCTCCGACTCTCCTCCTTGGCTCTCGTCTGCTGCGGTACCGCCCCTCGATGTCTCCTGACCTGAGCCAGGGTCGTCTCGATGCGGCCAGCCAGCTCAATCCATCCGCCTATCTCCTCCGGATCATCGCGATGAAGCGCCCAAGCCAAGATTTCCTTCCGCAGGCCTTCCTTAAATATCTGGACCTTAGTGGTACCGGACCACTCAGGCACCCTTTCTGCCCGCAACTGGAATTCTTCCACGTATTCGGATACGGAACGCTGGCCTGGACCTTAGTGGTACCGGACCACTCAGGCACCCTTTCTGCCCGCAACTGGAATTCTTCCACGTATTCGGACACGGAACGCTGGCCTTGGGTTATTGTCTGCAACTTCTCTCTCGCTCGGACTCTCTCAAGCGGGTCCCTGAAGCGTGCTTCCATCGCTGCTAGGAATCGCCTCGTGGATCCCAAGCATGGGTCAAGTCTGGCATGGAGCTGGACATACCACTCTGCCGCTCCTCTCCTCAGTGCTGCGCCCACTGCCCGCACTCTGCTTGCCTCCGATCTGAAGGTGAGTGCGTTGTCCTCTAAATAACCCTTCACCATGGTCAGGAAATAATCGAGGCTCCCGGCTTCACCTCCAAATTCGACTCTCAGCTCCTCCCTTCTCTGGTGGTGGAGAAGGGGCTGCATCTCCCGGCTCTCTGCTCGCGGTGGCCCTCCCTGGAGCCCATGCTGCTCCGGGGGCAATCCGTGCCGCCCTGTGCCGCGCCCGGCTCCGGCCGGGGGCACCAGAAGCGTCTGCTGGGACGTTAGCGTTAGGCCCCGCGGCTGTCCTTCCTCCTCATCACTCTCTGCCCCGGCTCTCCAACTCGCCTGCGTTTTAGGCCGTGCTCCGGGGCCCCGGTCGCCCCTCTCCTCTGCACTCCACACCGATTCCCCCCGGGGTCGTGGTTCCTCTAACAAGGGGGCCAGCCGCTCCATCACCCTCGACATCACTGCGAGGGTGGTTTCCATGGCCGCCACCTTTTCCTCCAGATACTCCATCCTCTGCGGAGAGGGGAAGTCTAGCCTACTGCTTTCTCTCGCTGCCGCCTCTGCCCCCTTCACTCGCCTCTGGGTCACCCCGTTGGGCCGGGCATAAGCAGTCGATGAAGCCAAGGCAGCCACTCTCTCCAGCTCCTCCTCCGCATTCTCGAAAGGGGAGTCTGGCTCTCCCTCTGCCGCTGGATTTTCCTCTTGTTCCATAAGGGTACCTCACCGCAGCCGTGGGACGGTACCGGGGAATCCTGGCTTAATGTAAGTTCACAGCAGCCGCTCCCAATAACGACACAGGACGCCAATCCGTAATCAATCAGGAACTTTTACTGCTGGACATTCATACACGAAGAAAGCCAGGATTGGCCGGCAGCCGCGGTTCAACCCTTATATACCCTCCCTCACAACTGAATTCCCCTTTCCCGCCAACCAAGAGTCCCGCGCAATATTCCCCGCCAAATGCCAACTGCTTCCCCCCAAGGCCACCAGCTGCACATTCTTATCAGCATCACATGTCAGGATCCTGGTTTTTTGCGCCAAGACTCAAGGCCTGGAAACTGGTTCCTGACAGTTTGGTGTGTGTGTATCTACTTTTAGTCCAGCACAACTCTTCTCCTACTTCTCATTCCTGGCACTCTTGATGGAGAAGTCAAAGCTACTATGTTGTGCCATCAGAGATCTTCTCAGCCTTTGAGCAAACAATATATGTGATCAGCCAAACCTAATTGCTATTTTGCTTCCATATAAAGACAAATGCATCTGCAGCCAGGTACTCCATTATAGCCTTGTTAAAACAGAATATTCTTAACCCCTCCCTTCTCTGAAGAAGTAGATCCAGGATTTCGAATTCTTTCTGGCCTTGGAGTTAAAATGGATTGAACAAATCTCAATCCTTCTAAGTCTCAGTGATTCGGAGAACTATGCACAAAGGATAAATTGCTACAGCAAAATCTTACAATTTTGGTCAGAGTAACTATGGATCATATCTAAAAGACAACACCAATAAATGCAAGGTTTCAGATCTACTTCATGTTTATCTAGTTCAATACCAAGTAGTTTCTGTATAAGCCCAAGAGAGCCAATTGAAACTAGGGCTTCTTAAATTTTTTTTTCCAGTTGTGACCCTTTTCTGTCTGATAATTTTTACGTGACTCCAGGTGTGTGTGTGTGTGTGTGTGTATCTCTCAGGCATCTACTTATAATAAACCAGCACTTGCAAGGCTTGCTAAACAGGCAAAGTACAGATAAATCATTTTCTACAGTCCACTGTAACCATTTGTGTAAATGGGTGGCATTCAGAAACCTTTTGTCACATTTTTCGTAACTCAACATTATGCAAAAGGAGACCCTTTTGGGGTTGGGACCCACAGTTTAAGAAGCAGTCATTTAAATGAGGAGACATGATTCTTTATACAGGAATGAGTGAGCAAGAAGGCTTCCAGCACAAAAGGCATCCAGCCAAAATTAGCTGGTAACTGTCACGTTCCTCTGTGTGTAGATACAATCATGTTGTTTACATAGATATTATCACAGAAATGCAGAAAACACAGATGAATGTGGCACTGTGTGGATCAATCACCCAGAATTTCAAGAAAAACAAGTTCCAACATAAATATTATTGAAAGTGTGTGGCTTTCTCAGAAGACAGAGGTACATGTGAACAAGAAATCCAATGGACTGAAAACAGCTATTTGCAAGTCATCTGTGGCAGAATCAAGCAGAACAAAGCATTTATGTAAATATCCTTCATTTATATAACATAACCAGACTTTTCTTGCAGCAGAATTGCTATTTATCTTAGTTCTGGGCACAGACAGGCAATCCCCGAGTTACAAATATCTGACTCAGAAATGACTTCTAGTTACAAACCAGGGTGGGGTGGGAGTGGGTGAGGAGACAACAGGAAGTGAGAGAAATCCCTTCAGAAGGAAAATCCACTCCTGGGAGAGTTATTATCAAGGGGGAAAGGGGTCTCCACTGAAGCTTTATCACCAATCCTCATTTTCACAACAAGCCAAATTTTCCAAAATACAATTTTTATAGGGAAAGAAAGTGAGGTGGAATATTTTGAACAGTGGCAGGGATAGCAAAGGAAACACAACAGAGGTGCTAATCCTTCCCTATGCCATCCAAAGCTCTTATATAGCTGGAGTTACACTTAAAAAATGTACCTGATCCTACTTACAAATTCAACTTATGAACAAACCTACAGAACCTATCTTGTTTATAATGACCTTCACACACAGATAAGTAACCCTCACCTTTTCCTAAAATCTGCTCCGCATTCATCACAAGGGAAAACTTTGGAGAATAAGGTGATGAACTGGATCATTTCCTGCTGTTCGGTTTTGTTTGGCCGGTCGGGGTAGTAAGCCGCCATCGTATGGAGGAAGGACCAGGAATTCCTCCCCAGTTCCTCCCGATCTAGAGGACAATCCGAGGGAATCTCTTGCAATTCGGTTCCGGCTTCCTGTTTGGAAGATGATCATAGTTTTTTTCCAAGTTGGTGGCAGTTTTAAACCCATTTCAACCATGTCTTTTAAAAAACATTCAGTTTTATATGTAAAAGTGTTTGCGCGTATAACTGCAAGGCCCACCTCCAAAGAGAAATGCTGAGATGTAAATATTTTAACACATAACAATAACAAAAAATGGATTTGGGAAGTCAAATGTGAGGCAAGCTCCTAATTCCCTTCTCTAGAATTAGGCAGAATGAGGTTGCTCCCTCCGGCAGAAGCTTTTGACTAATTACTAAATGACAAATACATTCTTGCTGGATTTTTATTGCCCGAGAGAAAGGCTTTGGGGATTTCCTGTTTCAAATATGGGCAGTTCACCCTTTACTGATTTTAGTGAATCTACGCATGTTTTTCCCTTTAAAATTAACAGGCATAAATGACATTTCTGCCTTTATGGAGAGACCCCAAAGCACAAAAGGGAATAGTTTAAGGATATATATATATGAGAGAGACTCCTGGACCCCAGTGACCAGATTCAGGATTGTGGGAGGTGCAGTCCATATCTATAGCTACCTATTTATCTATATGTCATTGTAAAACAGGCTCCTGGATCCCTTTGGCCAAGCTGGAGATTCTGGGAGGTGCAATCTATAGCTACCTATTTATCGATATTTCCTTTAAGTCGCCTTGTGGAGAGAAAAAGTGGGGTACAAATAAACATAATAATAATAATATGGTTCCACTGACTAAGCTGGGGGTTCTGGGAAGTGAAATCCTATCTATCACTCTATTTATCTATCTCTTCTGATAAAGAAGGCCCTTGGATCCCAGTGACCAGGCTTGGGATTCTGGGAACTACAGTTCTCTCTCTCTCTCCCTATTTAGCTGTTTATCTCTATATCTCTCTATTTCTCTCTTTATTTCTCTTCCTATTTCTTTATTTATATATCTCGATTAATCTTTATTTCTATCTCTTTATCTCTCTTTCTATTAATCTCTATCTATCTCCTCTGTTTATCTATCTCTTTTTATAAAGAAGGTCTTTGGATCCCAGTAGCCAGGCCTAGGATTCTGGAAAGTGCAGTTGTATCTCTCTCTCTCTCTCTCTATATATATATATAGCTATTTATCTATCTATTTATCTATCTATTTATGTCTATATCTTTTTATTTTATCTTTCTCTTTATCTCTCTTTCTATTTTTATCTAACTATTTGTCTATCTCCTCTATTTATCCATTTATATCCCTGGCCCTTGTGCACTCTAGATGGAGGTCAGCTGTGACCAGCAGTGCTGTAGAATTTGAAGAGGCTCAAATGGAGGGCGAAAGAGAGATACGTACCAAGAGGAAGGAACGTCAAGCCAACCCCGACCGGGACCGCCTTCCACCTGGAAACCAATGCCCTCAATGTGGGAGAAGATGCAGACCAAGAATAGGGCTCCATTGTCACCTACGTACCCATCACCAGTACACTCATCTTGGAAGACAATCCTATTCGGACAATGAAGGATTGGCTAAGTAAGTACTTCTATTTATCTTATTATGTATCTATCAACGGTTTGGGACCTGCCTACCTGCGTGACTGCATTTGTGTATACGAATCCACACAATCTCTTTGATCATCCGGAGAGGCCCTTCTCACGCTCCCACCTGCATCGCAAGCACGATTGGTGGGGACGAGAGAGAGGGCCTTCTCGGTGGTGGCCCCTCGACTCTGGAATTCACTCCCTAAGGATATCAGGCATGCCCCATCTCTGGCCGTCTTCAGGAGGGTTGAAAACGTGGTTGTTCCAGTGTGCCTTACCAGAATAATGGACCCTTAGCATTATGTCCTCCAAAAGCACTTTATATCAATTTAGGTCTGCTTCTATGTCTCCTTCAACGCCCCACCTTCTTTGTTTTGTTCATGCCTAGCATTATTTTTTAAACTTCAATTACATTTGGCCCAGCCATAGATTTTAAATGTGCACTGTACCTTGTTTAATGTTTATGCTATTTGTGTAAGAGATTTATTTTAATTGCTTTGTATTGTGTCTGTTATTGCTTGTATTGTCTGTATTGATGTATTGTGGGCTCGGCCTCATGTAAGCCGCACCGAGTCCCTTGGGGAGATGGTAGCGGGGTACAAATAAAGTTGTTGTTATTATTATTATTATTAGTCTCTCTCTCTATTAGCTCTCTTTTTCTCTATTCATCTATCTATTTATCCCTATTTATTTATTTCTCTCTCTCTATCTACATGTCATTGTAAAGCAGGCTTTCCCTCTATCCCAGGACGGGGCCAATTCGGGCCCTCGTGGTGTTTTGGACTCCAACTCCCACCATTCCTAACAGTCTTAGGCCCCTTCCTTTTCCTCCTCAGCCGCTTAAGCTGAGGGAGGAGAGAAAAGGGCCCGAGGCAGTTGGGAATGGTGGGAGTTGGAGTCCAAAACACCACGAGGGCCCAAGTTGGCCTCGTCCTGCTCAGTGCATTCCCGGGCCCGCACGGTGATGGCAGGCTCCAGGCCGCGGACTAGGCCTCACCGCGGCGCCTTGCCTCTTCTGCTCGCGCATCCAGCTGCGGAAGTCTGTGCAGGCGCGGCAGGCCGGCTTCTTCCGCCTCGGGCCTTCCTCCTGGGCCTGCCTCCGGGCCGGGCGGTCCTCCTCCTCCTCGGCCGGGAAGCGGAACGGGAAAGGAGGGCGGCTCGGCTCGGGACCGGGCGCCGCCATATTGAAAGGGTGGTGGGGTAGGGAGGGAAGGTTACGCGCAAAGCATACCGGGCCGGGGTGGGCGGGGAAAAGCCATCGCCATGGCAACGCCGCAGAACGAGGGCCAATAGGGGGAGGGAAGCCGTCGCCATGGCAACGCCAGAGTGGGGCAGGGCCTTCAGGTTGCTCTGCCATTTATTTATTTATTTGTTTGTTTGTTTGTTTGTTTGCCTGACTTATATACCGCTGTTCTCAGCCCGAAGGCGACTCACAGCGGTTCACAACAAATAAGAACAGCAAAAATTCAGTGCTACAGTATAGAAACAGTTAACAACCTAACACATTACACAATTAATAAACAGTTACTACAATACCCATTCACTGTCGTCTCGTCATCAAAAACATGTTCCAGATTCGTCATCCATTGTTCCATTCCAGTGTTCATTAACCAATCATTGCACTAATTATTCGAACGCCTGCTCAAACAGCCAGGTCTTCACCTTTTTGCGGAATACCATTAGAGATGGTGCTAGTCTAATGTCCGTAGGAAGGGCGTTCCACAGCCGAGGAGCCACCACCGAGAAGGCCCTATCTCTCGTCCCCGCCAGCCGAGCCTGAGAAGCAGGCGGGATCGAGAGCAGGGTCTCCCCGGAAGCAATCAGCAACACTCTCAACCTTTTTCAAAACCTGACTCGTAAGGTGTGCTGCTTTTCGTGTTTTTAATCTTTTAACATATGCATGTGAGTAACTTTATGTGTTTTTAAAATCTATGTATGTATTAACAAATAAAATTATTATTATAATAAATTACTAATCCATATTTGTTGTTCATTCGTTCAGTCGTCTCCGACTCTTCATGACCTCATGGACCAGCCCACGCCAGAGCTCCCTGTCGGCCGTCACCCCCAGCTCCTTCAAGGTCAGTCCAGTCACTTCAAGGATGCCATCCATCCATCTTGCCCTTGGTCGGCCCCTCTTCCTTTTGCCTTCCACCTCCCCCAACATAATTGTCTTCTCCAGGCTTTGCTGTCTCCTCATGACGTGGCCAAAGTACTTCAACTTTGTCTCTAGTATCCTTTCCCTCCAGTGAGCAGTCGGGCTTTATTTCCTGGAGGATGGACTGGTTGGATCTTCTCGCAGTCCAAGGCACTCTCAGAACTTTCCTCCAACACCACAGTTCAAAAGCATCGATCTTCCTTCGCTCAGCCTTCCCTAAGGTCCAGCTCTCGCATCCGTAGGTTACTACAGGGAATACCATGGCTTTGACTAGGCGGATCTTTGTTGCCAGTCTGATGTCTCTACTCTTCTATTTTATCGAGACTGGACATTGCTCTCCTCCCAAGAAGTAAGCGTTTTCTGATTTCCTGGCCACAGTCTGCATCTGCAGTAATCTTTGCACCTAGAAATACAAAGTCTGTCACGGCCTCCACATGTTCTCCCTCTATTTTCCAGTTGTCAATCATTCCTGTTGCCATAATCTTGGGTTTTTTTATGTTTAGCTGCAACTCAGCTTTTGCGCTTTCTTCTTTCACCTTGATTAGAAGGCTCCTCAGCTCCTCCTCGCTTTCGGCCATCAGAGTGGTGTCATCTGCATATCTGAGGTTGTTAATGTTTCTTCCAGCAATTTTCACCCCAGCCTTGCATTCATCCAGCCCCGCACGTCGCATGATGTGTTCTGCATACAAGTTAAAAAGGTTGGGTGAGAGTATGCAGCCTTGCCGTACGCCTTTCCCAATCTTGAACCAGTCTGTTGTTCCGTGGTCAGTTCTGACTGTTGCTACTTGGTCCTTGTACAGATTCCTCAGGAGAGAGACAAGGTGGCTTGGAATGCCCATCCCACCAAGAACTTGCCACAGTTTATTATGATCCACACAGTCAAAGGCTTTAGAATAGTCAATGAAGCAGAAGTAGATGTTTTTCTGAAACTCCCTGCCTTTCTCCATTATCCAGCGGATATTGGCAATCTGGTCTCTCGTTCCTCTGCCTTTTCTAAACCCAGCTTGAACATCTGGCAACTCTCGCTCCATGTATTGCTGGAGTCTTCCTTGCAGATCTTGAGCATTACTTTACTGGCATGAGAAATAAGGGCCACTGTACGGAAGTTTGAGCAGTCTTTCGCATTTCCCTTTTTTGGTATGGGGATATAAGTTGATTTTTTTCCAGTCTGATGGCCATTCTTGTGTTTTCCATATTTGCTGGCATATGGCATGCATCACCTTGACAGCATCATCTTTCAAGATTTTGAACAGTTCAGCTGGGATCCCGTCGTCTCCTGCTGCCTTGTTGTTAGCAATGCTTCTTAAGGCCCATTCAACCTCACTCCTCAGGATGTCTGGTTCTAATTCATTCACCACACGGTCAAAACTCTCCTCGATATTATTATCCTTCCTATACAGATCTTCTGTATAGTCTCGCCACCTTCTCTTGATCTCTTCCGCTTCTGTTAGGTCCCTGCCATCATACCAATTTTTGCCTGAAATTTACCTCCAATGTTTCTAATTTTCTGGAAGAGGTCTCTTGTCCTTCCTATTCTGTTGTCTTCTTCCACTTCCATGCATTGCTTATTTAAAAATAGTTCCTTATCTTTTCTGGCTAACCTCTGGAATTGCGCATTTAACTGGGCATATCTCCCCTTATCACTGTTTCCTTTTGCTTTCCTCCTTTCTTGGGCTACTTCCAGTGTCTCAGCAGACAACCATTTTGCCTTCTTGGTTTTCTTTTTCTTTGGGACGTCCTTTGTTGCCGCCTCCTGAACAATGTCGCGGACTTCTGTCCATAGTTCTTCTGGGACTCTGTTTACTAAATCTAGTCCTTCAAATCTGTTCTTCACTTCCACTGTATATTCGCTATGGAATGTTAGTGAGATCATATCTAACTGGTCTGTGTATTTTCCCTGATCTCTTTAGTTTTATTCTAAATTGAGCAATAAGAAGTTCATGATCTGAGCTACAGTCAGCCCCAGGTCTTGTTTTCACCGACTGGATGGATGTCCGCCACCTTTGGCTGCAAAGGATGTAGTCAATCTGATTTCGGTGTTGACCATCTGGTGAGGTCCATGTATAAAACCGTCTTTTAGGTTGTTGGAAGAGAGTATTCGTTATACACAGCGAGTTTTCCTGGCAAAATTCTATCAGCCTGCGTCCCGCTTCATTTTGTTCTCCCAGACCATGCTTGCCTGTGATCCCAGTTGTCATTTGACTTCCCACCTTGCATTCCAGTCTCCTGTAATGAAAATAATGTCTCTTTTTGGTGTATTATCCAGTAGGTCCTGCAGTTCCTCATAGAACAGATCTACTTCTGCTTCATCAGCTGTGGTTGGGGCGTATATTTGGATCACTGTAATGTTGAAAGGCTTTCCTTGCACTCAAATTGAGATCATTCTGTCATTTTTTTGGATTGTATCCAAGCACTGCTTTAGTGAATTTCTTATTAATTATGAATGCTACTCCATTTCTTCGATGTTCCTCTTGTCCATATATATAAATTAGTAATCAATACATGCAGCAATAATCAAATGAATATTATTATAAAATAAATTACTAATCAATACATATAAATTAGTAAAATATGGATACAACAATCATCAAATCAATATTATTATAAAATAAATTACTAACAAATACATATAAATTAGTAATAAATACATACAATAATAATCAAATCAATATTATAAAATAAATTACAAATCAATACATATAAATTAGTAATAAATACATACAACAATAATCAAATCAATATTTCTAATAAATACATATAAATTAGTAATAGATACATTCAGCAATAAACAAATAAATAATATTATAAAATAAATTACTAATCAATACATATAAATTAGTAATAAATGCATACAACAATAACAGAATTATTATTATTATTATTTCTACACCGCTTTTAATCTTTATCCTGTGCCTTTCAATATATGCATTTTAATAGCTTAATTTATGGATTTTAATTAACTTGAGCCTAGAGAAAAGGCAATTAACACATAAAATTATTTTATATTACATAATGATAATAACACACGATAAATAATACATATGCCTATGTAAGCCATCCTGAGTCCCCCTTTTGGGGTAGAGAAGAGACGGGATATAAATACCATAAATAAATAAATAAAGTAATTATACAAATAGTACTATTATTCTATGTGTTTATATCTTGCTTTTCCTCTCTTAAGAGAAACTTAAAACATATAAACATTATAATAGAACTAAGTCAAGAGCAATTAAAATACATATCAATAAAACTAAGAATTTTTTAAAGAAATATTAAATTTGTTATATATTAGTTGTATCAATTATGGGTTGCTGTGAGTTTTCCAGGCTTTCTGACCATATTCCAGCAGCATTCCCTCCTGACATTTTGCCCACATCTATGGCAGGCATTCTCAGAGGTTGTGAGGTCTGTTGGAAACTTGGCAAGTGGGGTTTATATATCTGTGGAATGTCCAGGGTGGGGGAAAGAACTGTAATAAGAACAGCAACAAGAAAGCCCACTATATGGTTCAGATATGTGGGTGACACCTTCACCATTTGGAGCCATGGAGAAGAAGAACTCAGCAAGTTCCTGGATCACCTCAACAGCATCCACCCTAACATCCAATTCACCATGGAAAAAGAAAATGAAGGGAAAGTGCAATGTTTAGATGTCCTAGTCATCCGCAAACCTAATCAACAATTAGGCCACACAGTTTACAGAAAACCTACACACACTGATAGATACTTATATAAAAACTCCAACCATCACCCAAGTCAAAAAAGAAGCACAGACCATGCAAAAAGAATCTGCGGACCCCACCTCCTCCAAGGGAAGCTGAACCACCTAAACTGGGCTCTATAGACCAATGGAGACTCCACCACAGACATCAGAAGAACTGCAAGACCGAGAACAAACCACGAGAGTAAAGACAAAGATCCACCCAGAGGAAAAGTGATCTCGCCATACATCAAGGGAACCACTGACCGCATAGGGAAGCTGACGAGGAAACACAGCATACAAACAATATACAGACCCACAAGAACAAGAGGGATCCTCTCACCTCTGCAAGAGTCTATCGTATCCCATGCAG